TTTCTAATATCTTCGACTCTCAAAGGCCCCACATTCATATTTTCGTATCCCGCAAGATGCATGACCTTTAAATACGTAACATATCGTGTCAACCACGCAACAGCTTTCAGTAGTTTGTACCAAGAAGAATAATATTTAAAAAGTGGATGTAAACCTGAATGTCTTTCTTGAGTAGATGTTAAACTGACACTTGTCTTCAACTCCAAGGCACACTCGTTTATCGGTGGTTCATCTTCTCTACGAGGCCACATACTATCAGCCCTTAGCAAGAACTCTGGACCTTTCCACCACTTATTTTTAACCACATTCATATCAATAACTCCTCGCGAGGCTAGATCAGCTGGATTTTTTCCAGACGGTACGTACCTCCACTGCTCAACAGTTGTTAGTTCACGAATTTGAGATACTCTGTTAGCTACAAAACATGCATATCTTGCTGACTCGTTGCGTATATAATATATCACAGACATCGAATCAGTCCAAAACGTTACGGGATGCTTGGGGTAATCCAACTCTTTACACACCGTTGTGAATAACTGCGCAGCTAGTAAGGCGGCATTAAGTTCTAATCTCGGAATCGAAACCGTCTTTAGAGGTGCAACTCTAGATTTACCCATCACCAGGCTAACATCTATATCATTCCTTAAGGTGGTTCTGATGTATACGGCTGCACCAAATCCAACCTCAGAGGCATCAGAAAAAACATGGAAGTCAATTATATCATGATTTCTCGACGGCTTAAGTGGACGTGAGACGGAATGTAGATTCAGCATTCTTAAACTGTTAACCCACCCCTTCCACTCTTCTCTCTGCCTCTCACTTAATGGTTCATCCCACTGTAACCCTTTCCTGCATGTCTCTTGAAATAACCTCCTAGCCGGAAGTAGATAAGGTGCTACTAATCCAAGTGGGTCAAACACGGACGACAACACAGAGAGCACACCTCTCCGAGTAACTGGCTTATCAATATCACCAACACTAAATCCAAAGGTATCAGAGTTCACATCCCATCGCATACCTAATGTGCGTTCAACTGGTAGAGTATCAACAGGCAAATCTCGTACGGTAGGTGCTCTGTCTTCTGGATCTATATGCTTCAAAACGTCTAGGCTGTTCGAGACCCACTTAGTTAGACGAAAGCCGGCCTTAGCTAACACTTCAGTGATGCTTGTTGCAAATCTAACTGCAGACTTATCATCATCGAAGGAGGCTAAACAATCATCCACGTAGAAGCAACAATCTATGACGTCCAGCAAATCATTAGAACCAAATGTGGACACTGCCTTTCGTAGAGCAAAATTAGCACAAAACGGGGAGGACGTGGCACCAAATGGATGCACTGTCATCCTATATTCTGACACCTTACCACAAGGACCGTCATCAAACCACAAAAACCTCAAGTGATCTCTGTCACTCTCTGGCACCTTCACCTGTAGGAACATTTCCTCAATATCCGCCGCGACAGCAACTGTAAACTTTCTGAATCTCAATAGCAGTCCCACTAATGAGCTCACGCAATCTGGGCCACTATACAGATTATCATTTAAAGAGACTCCTTCATGTTTCGCAGAACAATCAAACACCACACGGAGTTTACCTGGCTTCCTCGGGTTAAAGACGGGATGATGGGGCAAATACCACTTCCCTGGCTCACTCTGATCAACTAGTCTTTCAACGTAACCCTTCATTATATGTTTATCGACGACTTCCTTATATTTGGACCAGAGTTCTGCATCTGACAGGAATTTCTTCTGTAAACCCATTAGTCTCTTAAGAGCAACTTTCCTATTACAAACCAACTGTCTATCTTTGAATCTCCATGGTAGGCCAACGCTGAAACGCCCGTTTTCGTATTTACAAGAGTCCTCGGCTATTTTAACTGCTTTTAAGTCTTCTACAGAACGACCCTTCCCTGGGACACCGCAGTCACAAAACTCCTTGTCATACATATTTTTAATCATAGTTTCTAGTTTGTCCCCATCGTTTGTAACTAATGATGATATGTGGACTATGGGTATAGGTCCTCTCACTGTCCATCCCAGTGGTGTTTTCGTCGCAAACAGATCATCTCTACCTCCAAATCTCTCTTCTAATACCTTGTGAGCTTCTGGCACACTACATCCAATGAGTACTCTCACTCTTCCATCTTGCAATGTTGGAAGAGGTATGTCACACAGGTATGGCTTACCGACAACCGTTTCACGACTAGGTACTATAGCTTCGCCAAGTTTCATACTGGAGGTAGTGTAAGCAGTATCCACTTCCACGGTCTCCCCAGTAGCCAAGGATTCTAACTGAAATGACACTCGCTCACATACTACTGTTTTCGCAGAATTGAAAGTATTTACAACCAAGGGTTGCTTTGGGCCTTTAATACCCAAGCAACCAGCCAGTTCAGCATCTATCAATGTAACGTCTGAACCATTATCCAACAATGCATAAGTCTCTACTGAAGATTTCGGTCCTTTCACCTTAACTGGTAATACCCCTAAGAAAACTTGTGGGATGTCAAGGGGTCTAGAGATACTATTACAATTAACCGAATTCCCAGGTTCGTTCACTGTTCTCAGAAGTGGGTGCATATCCGTTAAACCACTACTTCTTTTATTTGTCGCCTTACAATTCCACTTTGTATGCCCAATCTTTAAACAACTGAAACACAGCCGCTTCTGCTTTGCCATTTTTAACCTTTCTACGGGTGACATAGCGATAAAGCGATTACAATCACTCAATTGATGCATGTTATGGCAAACAATACACTCATCCTTTCTCGTTGTGTCTTGAGACTTCACCACAAATGCCTTCCTTATATTCACTGGTTCCTTAGGTTCTACCTTAGAATGCAAAATGCTGGCGAATTTGCCCATCGCCTGGTTGACACTGTCCTTCACCAGTCTAAGAATATCATCAAACCTTGGCTCGATACCCTCCTCCTCTATACGAGAGCTTATTTTTACCCACTTCCTTTGCAGCCGAGTAGGTAGGCGTCTCGCAATTACCTCTAGGACTGAGCTGGAGTTGAGGTCACTCATGCAATTCATAGAAATCAAGGTATTCTTATAAGTCATAAGATTATCTAAAAACTCAGTAAGTGCCTTGGAGTCATCTTGAAGTTGACTGCCATTACCTTTGACAGCTTCGTATACGTTCCTTACAATCATCGAAGGTCTTCCAAACCTTTGACGTAATATGCTCATAGCCTCAGCGTATCCCTCATTAGGGGGCATGAGCTTACAGCACTGTATAGCTCTTGAAGCATCTCCAGTGCAATACCTCATCAAATACATCAATTTCAATTCATCACTTAATAAAAAACTACTCAACATGATCTCAAACTCCTTTACAAATTGTAAATAATCGGCCGGGTTTCCATCGAAACACCGTGGTTCAAATTTAGGGAGTTTGATGTTCCTATTATCCCTGAACGGCGAAACAGTAACATCAACCATGTCATGCTTAACATCAGACACATCGTTACAATTAACAGACAAGTCACCATGACTTACTTTCCTGTTTGCATCCAAGACACTCTGTCCCTTCTTTGACCCAGGCATTGTTGAACTTGACCCAATTCCGAAAAAGTTCCAGATATTGCTTGTTCAAAGAGGACTTGACCGGCACCAGGAAAGATGAACGGTAACTATCCAAACTGTTACCAACGGTCCAAACCCGTCGAAATCTGATTCTCCTTCAGAAACTGTCAGCCACGTCTCATAAACCGTTAATGCCCAGCTCTTGCTACGCTCGGGCTCACGCTGTCGCTTGAAGTTTCTCAGAAACGCTTAGTAATAACGGACGAAAAAACCAAAACACCAGTTGTTGACTCGAGGATTCTTTATTGTTACACCAACATATAAAAATAATGATTTTACTTGGGTCTGTGAACAAATATTACAATAATAAATCACAAGATTACTTCTGACGGTTGTCTCCTGACTTCTTTCTGAACAGCGACCGATGAGACGATGACTGTCATATTGATGCCTCCGCGAAAATTGGGGAAGTTGGTTTTGAGCAAACAACAATGAATTGATCGTTCAATCTTCAACTACATTGACACTCCCCGGCAAAAAGGGATCCAACCCTTTTTTCCTTCACGACCAATACACGTTGACTTGGATGCCATTGAGAGAACCTGGGTCACACGGACAGAGCTGAAATGGAAAACAAACAGAAAAGCCAACACACCACAACCATACCCACAGCACAATCTCACACATCGCTGACGACCTGCGCCTCCAGATAGAGACCTCCTCTTGACATCTTGCAACCCAATCGCCACTTGCTAGAATGACTCTTGCAGAATGCAACGTGACTATAGCACCACCTCATGATACTCTACGCACATCCTCTTATCTACTCACTACCAATTACCACTGAAATCGCTTGTCACTCATTCTGCCTCAGTTCTAGTAGCGGTGACGCATGCGAGCCTCAGTCGTTTACACTCTTTCTCCCCGGCGTGTCGGACCGCAGCTAACAATTATCTCCGTGTGCATTTCATTCTCAGCAATAGCCTAGCCTCTCCGGCGTATACGCCCCATCTGCTGTCTCTAACATCAATCAATTCATTCACGAACGTAGAAGACTAGAAACAACTTCAGAAGTAATCACGACGAAAATTTTAACAAAATTACGCAATAACAATAAGATACGAAAACAACAAGTAAACACAATGGATCCAAAAACACCAATTGATATGACACACCACACATATATACGAACTGTACACAAAAAGTCGCGGATCACATCTTGATGTAATTCCTTTGAAGATTCGCAGGACTTACACCAGTACGCCTACAATCCTTCACAGGTTCACGATTGTAATTTGTGGAATGTCCTGACACAAACAAGTTCAACGATCAATTACAATAATTGGAACTTACACAGTATTTTTTGAACGATACATCAGGCAACTTTTCAATCTCATTATCAAAAATTAAAGGATGTCAAAATAATTGATATATATATATGCTTAACATTTCCTTTTTAGCAAATAACTAAGTTGGTTCCTGTTTGACAGTTGGGGGGGAAGTATGCCTTTGCTTCGATTGATACCTCTGTCCACATTTCAACAAGGCTTTGCTTAACAAAGCAGGAGTAGTAATTTCAGAATCAGAACTATTACGTTTTACAAAACATTTAGATTCTGGTGTTTCAAAAGCTCCTGGTGATGGGGCTTCAACTTTTGAAATTTTACGCATTTTGATTTCGGTGTTACAGCGTCACATGAACTATCCACATTGTTGATTGTATCAGAAGAATTTCCATCAATTGATGTATTGTTATTTTCAAAGCTTCCGTCAACATCCAACTTTTTAATTACTGGTTTCACATCAACTGATTCAGCAATGGTAGACTTTTCGTAACGATTTCCGTGTTTTTTAGAGTACTTCGATAATGGTTGAGAAAGGTATCTAATAAAATTGACAGCTTCGTATACGTTCCTTACAATCATCGAAGGTCTTCCAAACCTTTGACGTAATATGCTCATAGCCTCAGCGTATCCCTCATCAGGGGGCATGAGCTTACAGCACTGTATAGCTCTTGAAGCATCTCCAGTGCAATACCTCATCAAATACATCAATTTCAATTCATCACTTAATAAAAAACTACTCAACATGATCTCAAACTCCTTTACAAATTGTAAATAATCGGCCGGGTTTCCATCGAAACACCGTGGTTCAAATTTAGGGAGTTTGATGTTCCTATTATCCCTGAACGGCGAAACAGTAACATCAACCATGTCATGCTTAACATCAGACACATCGTTACAATTAACAGACAAGTCACCATGACTTACTTTCCTGTTTGTATCCAAGACACTCTGTCCCTTCTTCGACCCAGGCATTGTTGAACTTGACCCAATTCCGAAAAAGTCCCAGATATTGCTTGTTCAATGAAGACCTGACCGGCACCAGGAAAGATGAACGGTAACTATCCAATCTGTTACCAACGGTCCAAACCCGTCGAAATCTGACTTCTCCTTCAGAAACTGTCAGCCACGTTTCATAAACCGTTAATGCCCAGCTCTTGCTACGCTCGGGCTCACGCTGTCGCTTGAAGTTTCTCAGAAACGCTTAGCAATAACGGACGAAAAAACCAAAACACCAGTTGTTGACTCGAGGATTCTTTATTGTTACACCAACATATAAAAATAATGATTTTACTTGGGTCTGGGAACAAATATTACAATAATAAATCACAAGATTACTTCTGACGGTTGTCTCCTGACTTCTTTCTGAACAGCGACCGATGAGACGATGACTGTCATATTGATGCCTCCGCGAAAATTGGGGAAGTTGGTTTTGAGCAAACAACAATGAATTGATCGTTCAATCTTCAACTACATTGAGAGCTTTTTTCTGTAACATTTATGTCTATTAGAAGTGTAAATACATTTAAGAGACTGAAATCTAATACTCGCCCACTATCTGAAAGCCTCACCTCCGCCGGTGATCCTGCACTTTCGACACCAGACGCACACCTTTTTATGGTGTCTGATATCATAGAGGAACTGATGGAGAATGTGGCTGGTGACAAAATGAATTACTGACAATTCAGAAGTCAATAGCACACCTACAGAGCAAGTTTGACAGCAATATGCCCGTCAATGTATATGAAGATTGAACGATCAATTCATTGTTGTTTGCTCAAAACCAACTTCCCCAATTTTCGCGGAGGCATCAATACGACAGTCATTGTCTCATCGGTCGCTGTTCAGACAGAAGTCAGGAGACAACCGTCAGAAGTAATCTTGTGATTTGTTATTGTAATATTTGTTCATATACTTTATTGATGTTAGAGACAGCAGATGGGGCGTATACGCCGGGGAGGCTAGGCTATTGCTGAGAATGAAATGCACACGGAGATAATTGTTAGCTGCGGTCCGACACGCCGGGGAGAAAGAGTGTAAACGACTGAGGCTCGCATGCGTCACCGCTACTAGAACTGAGGCAGAATGAGTGACAAGCGATTTCAGTGGTAATTGGTAGTGAGTAGATAAGAGGATGTGCGTAGAGTATCATGAGGTGGTGCTATAGTCACGTTGCATTCTGCAAGAGTCATTCTAGCAAGTGGCGATTGGGTTGCAAGATGTCAAGAGGAGGTCTCTATCTGGAGGCGCAGGTCGTCAGCGATGTGTGAGATTGTGCTGTGGGTATGGTTGTGGTGTGTTGGCTTTTCTGTTTGTTTTCCATTTCAGCTCTGTCCGTGTGACCCAGGTTCTCTCAATGGCATCCAAGTCAACGTGTATTGGTCGTGAAGGAAAAAAGGGTTGGATCCCTTTTTTGCCGGGGAGTGTCAATGTAGTTGAAGATTGAACGATCAATTCATTGTTGTTTGCTCAAAACCAACTTCCCCAATTTTCGCGGAGGCATCAATATGACAGTCATTGTCTCATCGGTCGCTGTTCAGACAGAAGTCAGGAGACAACCGTCAGAAGTAATCTTGTGATTTGTTATTGTAATATTTGTTCATATACTTTATTGATGTTAGAGACAGCAGATGGGGCGTATACGCCGGGGAGGCTAGGCTACTGCTGAGAATGAAATGCACACGGAGATAATTGTTAGCTGCGGTCCGACACGCCGGGGAGAAAGAGTGTAAACGACTGAGGCTCGCATGCGTCACCGCTACTAGAACTGAGGCAGAATGAGTGACAAGCGATTTCAGTGGTAATTGGTAGTGAGTAGATAAGAGGATGTGCGTAGAGTATCATGAGGTGGTGCTATAGTCACGTTGCATTCTGCAAGAGTCATTCTAGCAAGTGGCGATTGGGTTGCAAGATGTCAAGAGGAGGTCTCTATCTGGAGGCGCAGGTCGTCAGCGATGTGTGAGATTGTGCTGTGGGTATGGTTGTGGTGTGTTGGCTTTTCTGTTTGTTTTCCATTTCAGCTCTGTCCGTGTGACCCAGGTTCTCTCAATGGCATCCAAGTCAACGTGTATTGGTCGTGAAGGAAAAAAAGGTTGGATCCCTTTTTTGCCGGAGAGTGTCAATGTAGTTGAAGATTGAACGATCAATTCATTGTTGTTTGCTCAAAACCAACTTCCCCAATTTTCGCGGAGGCATCAATATGACAGTCATCGTCTCATCGGTCGCTGTTCAGAAAGAAGTCAGGAGACAACCGTCAGAAGTAATCTTGTGATTTATTATTGTAATATTTGTTCCCAGACCCAAGTAAAATCATTATTTTTATATGTTGGTGTAACAATAAAGAATCCTCGAGTCAACAACTGGTGTTTTGGTTTTTTCGTCCGTTATTGCTAAGCGTTTCTGAGAAACTTCAAGCGACAGCGTGAGCCCGAGCGTAGCAAGAGCTGGGCATTGACGGTTTACGTGAGCTAGCTGATATTTGTGCAGGTTGGAAAATGGTAAATGGTGGCCAAGCATTAACATGGCATCCATCCATGAAATCCTTGACAGTTAAACTGAGTCAGGTAGGGAGTTTCAGACTCCCGGGTTGGGGCCCTCGGGACCTAGGAATCAATGGCTGGAGACAATAGGTGTCATGGCTCAAAATCTTTGTCAATGGCGCAGATGTATTCAGTCTCTGTAATCTTTCATGTTCCTTTCTACCATTACCCATTCTGTTTCACTCTTATACTTGTCAGACTGTATTGATTCTCTTTACTCATCTTCTTGTCTACTTCTGTGTGCTATTTGGAACGTGGCAACTCGAACTGGTGCACTTCGGTGCCAAGTTCTATATTGAATCCAGACAGACGAGACATGGCTGGCAATGCCCCTCATGCAACCGTGTGACCCATCACAAACCATCTGTCTAGAATCCCTTATAATAATTGACTATTTGGCTGAAGAAGCGATGAAGAGGATTATGTCTTCACGTAACGTCCTCGCCTGTGATATTCCAGACAAAGTACCTACTGCCAAACTTATAACTTCATGTCTAAAGGCCTGTAATATGTCGTCGGTAGAATGCCAGGTTCCACGTCTTCGCAAGAAATCTGCAAACTACTCATGTCCGTTGCTTTACAAGTTCAGCTCTACTGAATAAGCGCGTTGGTGGCAGAGCGGTTAGGACGCTCACCGACCATGCACATGGTCCGGGGTTTGACTTCAGTCAACCACACACTCCTTTACCTCGCTAAACCAGAAATAATGCTGGTAAAGATGAAAGGTTGGGCATAAGGCTAGCAGTCCCATCCTGTAAAAATAAATACTGCCACAGGAACTTCAAGCCATTATCTTGAAGACCTATGTTCCACTGGGAATGTGAAGGAAAATTCTGTATTGAATAACCTAGGAATTTTCTGAAATACGGTAACATATTAGGCTCTTCAAAACCCTACACTAACGTTAGGGTTTTGTCTGATTTAACGTTATGCCAAAGACGATGTCGCTCAGGAACTCTGAATGCTAATAACTCTAATAGGACAACTGTAGATGACGTTCCATGCGTAGTTCCGTCTGGCGAGATACCTGATGACCGCATTTATCAGACATTTTAGCAGGCGCAGACTAATGTTAGCCAAGTATTATATAATGATACTGATGCTGACACTGAAATGGTAGACATAGATGAGTCAACAGAACATAATGTTGAGACACATCATTTGCAAACGGACACAAACGTCAAGAGCCAGAAAACACCAAGTCCTATTCAACTGGTGTTTCACCCATCTCCTTATAAGTCAGTTGCTCCTCAGTCTGACAATCCATCCACTGTGAAGTGTCGGTCAAATATAGCTACCCAGGTTAGCAAGTCCTCTATGCGTTATGACAAACGTCCAATTTCCATAGAAAAACTAAAGCACATGAGGTCTCCGAGCAACAGAAACCCTACATAGCATTTCCTGGCTACCCGGTTAGCCATTGTCAACCAGTTGATCATAAGAAAGGGGAAAATGAGGTAAATAAATTAAATACTGAACCCAGAGCAAGAAAGCAACTCTAAGTCATCTTTCTAAGATAAAGCCATATAGTGTCTTGGGGCCATTTTTATTTACAGTCTACATTAACAGCATTTGTAGCTGCTTTGCCTCAGGTAAACCATTCCCATATGCTGACGACCTCAAGGTCGTTTGCTCCTGCTACAGTCATGAATTAAACAATATTTACTTTTATTTTTTTATTACAGCTTGATTCCACACTGTATTTTTGGTACAAGTATGGAATTTTCAGCGTGGATATCGGTAGCCCAAATTTCGCAGGCCGACCATAGATATCAGGTGTGCGTCGGCG